ACAATTACAATTTCGATTTAACATCATTAAATATCCTTACATCATTAGATATTAATAACCTTTGTATTTTTACGAAACCTAATGATAATATGTTATTTTGCGAATAAGCATCAACAAAATTAAATACGCATTCAACTTTCAATGTATAAGGTAGAAAGCGAACTTTTAAATGCCAGTAGCGAGCCAGAGTTTAAAATATAAGTTATATCTCCTATTGTTAAACTATGGCGTCACAGGAAAGGGTCTTGGGTCCGTCCTTTGACGCATAGAGGTCATTGACACAAATGTGCGAGGGGTTCTGCAGATGTTTATTCGCGCAACCCTCATAGCGCGAAGTTGGCCACGCTACTAAATAATCATTTGACTGTGACATTTTTTTCTCGTGAATATGATTCGATTCTTATTCCGTTCGTTAAACGCAGAGTCCTTGCGAATTAAATACTAAAGTACTACACAACTAAAAAATCGACAAAATTGCACACATGGTAATCACATTAAGATAAAAAATGTGTGCCGCGCATATACAAAATAAATTCGAATTTGGAATCTAGTAATATAAAAATGTTATTCCAATTTCGGTTAGTTTTTTGTGCATACAAAATTGCTACCGTTTGAAAATAACAATATATATTTGGCAATAATCACTTGAACTGTATTATCTTTACTAACATTGTATGTTTTACTCACTAATGAGATTAATAAAAATAAAGTTTTTCGAAAGATAAATTAATTTAAAAGGCATCAATTTAATTATAGCTGTGAAGACAAATTGTATTAGCTCAATTCTTTTAATAATGTTTGTGTTTCCACTATAACGTCTTTCTTCAAGCGAGTTATGAAAAGATTACAAAAAATCTTTAAAAATAAGCAGTACTTTGGCTGTACCCCTGACATTGACAACCACCACGAGCAACGTGACCACTTTCCACCAGGTGGGCCGTAAGCTCTTCTCCCTGCTTAACTGCTTCTCCCTGCTTTGGCTTAACGTTAAATTTCATGAAATTATTGTAAATTATTCTAAAGTTGTTTCTGTGGAAAATACGGCTTACCTAGTGGTAATACGCCAATTAACCTCCATTGGATTCCCGCCAAATTGAGTGATCACCGAATACACAGAACGCATTTCATAGTTATGTCCATAGCTGACCGATCGATTTCGGTTCACCGTACTTCACATTCGGCGTCGGAGCGCTACAAGTTAGACAACGTGCCACTGACGGTTCTACATCACGTNTGTTTCTGTTGAAAATACGGCTTACCTAGTGGTAATACGCCAATTAACCTCCATTGGATTCCCGCCAAATTGAGTGATCACCGAATACACAGAACGCATTTCATAGTTATGTCCATAGCTGACCGATCGATTTCGGTTCACCGTACTTCACATTCGGCGTCGGAGCGCTACAAGTTAGACAACGTGCCACTGACGGTTCTACATCACGTAATATTCTTAAGTTATAATTTTACACGCACGTCCACTCATGAGAAAGGCAACCTGAGACGACCGCAGCGCACGAAACCTTAATACTTCCCTTCGCTGCAAATATTGGGTGACAGAATCGAAGACCGAGTCGATTGAATGCCTTTGAGCCAACAATTTGCACAACTTCACAACCGATGCGAAACAAAATTCTGTTCCAAATCTACACAAAACTATTCCACATGTCACTATTTATGTGGACGTTTCATAAAAAAAGATTTGAATTTAACGACAGAGACCTACAAAAAGTTCGCGACGCGTCTAGCGAGTACCAAAATAATTATGACCAATATGGGGACAGGAGCCGTAGACGCGTAATAATAAGAATGCTTGCGTGGGGATGGTACGGAGGGTGCATTGTGCACCGACGAATTTTGGAAGGGCCCGTTCCGAAAGCCCTTGTTTGCTCCCCTTGCACTTGCGCAAGATGCGAACCAGTTTTGATTTTAGTGAAACACCCGTTGAGTTAGCGTGTGTACAAAGGGTCTTGGCTTCTACTATTTTACCGTTATATACCGGATTTTTGTTACATGTCTTAGCTAGATAAACTTATCGAATTATATTCAACTCTGTTGACTAGTGTCTATTGAAATACCGGACATTTTATTAACTTGGGCGGATATATAAGTATTATCTTACATGTAGAATTCCCATAGAAGACTTTTTAATTTTGGCCGTTTGGAGTTCTAAATCAGATCGTCTTTAACGCTTTTAGGATTTTTTTGCTCTAGATGAGCTGATTAGCTCATAGCCTGTTTTCTTGTTGTTAGTTGTTATTGGAGCCACGAAAAGTCACGTTGCATGAGTGATGCCACACAATTGGAGACGTGTATGTGGACATTGTACTGTATAACGGTTGTTCTACCCATCAAGCTGGAATGCATGATTGCTTTGCAACAGAACGAGAGACGGATTTCACCTACTATGCTTGCGCTGACAGAAAATAATGTCATCTGTGCCATTCTTTTTCTTTTTGTAATATCGTTCCCCATCGAATGATGTGGATTATTAGGACTATTTAAATAACGACTTCACGAATTGTGATTTTCTAAAGCACTAGTGGGCCTGATGAACTCAAGGCCCACCTGGTTTTAAGTAGATACCGGAGTCTATAGACAATCACAACGTGAATGTCGCTACGAATATTGAAACATAAAAGTCCATATCTCTCAGTTGAATTGTCAAACCGGAATGCATGACTGCTTCGCGGTAGGAAAGAAAAGGTTACGATGGTAGCCTACCCCTACGTCACAATGCAAAACCACCAGTATAAAGACTCACAGGATTTATTTTTTAAATAACATTTTTTTGGTTTTGGGCTCGGTACAGTTTTCATAGCATGAACAAGCGTGAACATGACGAACGACTTCCACGATAAACAAATGACAAAATTCCCAAATTACAAAATGCTAAAAAGTTGTTGTTAGTGTCAACACTATTCATCACGGCTGTGAGGTGCTTTTAAGTACCATAAGCACCGGTCACCGTCCTCGTCGAACCCGTCGCTTGCGACGAAGGGCTCGACGAGTGAATTAACCCACAGACACAGCCCACTGAGTTTCTTGCCGGATCTTCTTAGTCGATCGCGTTTCCGATCCGGTGGTAGATTCTGCGAAGCACTGCTTTTGCTAGGGCCAGCGTTAGCATCACTCCGTTTTGAGCCCAGTGAGCTCACCTACATGTTAGGGCGAAGCTGAAATAGCTTCACAAGGCTATCAGCATAGGTAGGAAAAAAAAACTGCTGTGAAGCAATCTTATGTTCCGATTTAAGGGATAGGATATTCGTTATAATGAAAATGGGACAATTTTTCTATATTTCTTTTTACTGCAGATTGGAGGTAGATGAATCGTGACGCAACTGTTGTTAAATAGTTACCGAGACCCATACAGTACAATGTAAACAGCAAGCAGCCTGTCGATAAATTTAAATTATTGTCGCTAATTTTCCTTCACATTCTAGGTAATTTATCAGTTTTTGTATTATAACCGCACAAAGATAATATACGATTGTGCGTGCGGTCGATACAATCGTCAAGTCCTATAATGTTTTGTAGGTATATATAATATGTATTCACGAACGACCTCCACGATGAGCATTATGTAATAAGATTTTTTTTTTATTTTTTTTTATTGCCGTATAGGCAGACGAGCATACGGCCCACTTCATGGTGAGTGGTTACCGTCGCTCATGGACGTCAGCAATGCTAGGGGCAGAGCCAAGCCGCTGCCTACCGTTTAATACTCTCCACAAGCCTCGTTTGAAGAAGGACATGTCATAGCGCTCGGGAAACACCGTGGAGGGGAGCTCATTCCATAGCCGGATGGTACGTGGCAAAAAAGATCTCTGGAAACGCACTGTGGATGAACGTAGTGGCTCCAGGTAGTATCGATGAACTCTACTCCGGTGGAGGGCGGTGCGATGGTAAAAGCAAGATGATATGATGATGAATCAAACTAGTAAAATAGGTTTTTGCGTAATTACTGTTGGATTGTAGCCTACACATGTAGGAAACACCACAAGACCTATTTTTATTGCGAGACGTCCGAGTGAGTACATGGGCAGTACGATTGAGATGTCAAGCCCATGTCTCAAGGTATGTGACAACATACACGATGTGCTGTCTATGTACATCATCATCATCATCATATGAGTAGCTCTAGTCTCTCATTTGAATGGAAAAAATAAGCTTCATTTGGATTCATTGTACATAATAGCTCCGGTAGCATACAGAAACATCAAGCACGTTCTAATAAATTTATTTTTTTAAGTGAACGGGACTTATAATCGGATACTTAATTATATATATCGTCATTTCTAAATTCAATCTAGAGATTATCGTGCACACACTGAGAGAGACACAAAGATTCTTTTAGACACAAAAAATCCGGTCTTAATGGAAATTAAACATAACAAATATGTTTAACAGAAATTAAAGGTAGGTACATTGAGGCAAGAATTCTCCTTTAGTTGACTCAATTTCACATTTCTGAAATTAACCATTAAACCTACCTGAAAGAAATCACAGCAAACCTGTTATAGGAAATAGATTTGAATTTTGCCTATAATTTTTATTTTGGAAATTATTTGTAAGTTCAGTTTCAAAATCGGCCATGAAACTTATATAAATAAGAAACATTCGAAATCTTGATTTCTTTTAGCTTCGAATTTCCAGGTACCGTTATCATTATGACAAAATTAAATAATATAAATGGTAATTAATTTTTTTCGATATCAGTCCAGCATTTATTTTGCAATAATGTCAGACTACAAAAAAAAACTTGTTGTAAAGAAGCTTGTTGCGTTTACGGCAAACGTAACTAGATGGCGTGGAACGCAATTCTTGTGAGCTCGCTTTGGATTGGCACTGCGCTATTGTATCGATTTTATGAAAACAAGTCAGGGTTGCTCGACTAAAAGAGCTTTATTGGAGAAATATGCAGTTTTCCTCAAAACAAACTCAATAAAATTTTTATGATTATGATAATCTTTACCAAAAAAGCATATGGGCACTCCGAAAGTGAACGATTTATCAAAATACGTCGTTTATAGTACATCAATTTTTTAACGTTTCATACCGTTTTTTCTAGCAACCCACAAGTGTCTATGAATTTGACCCCGAAGCTCGTGTCCGGATCAGACGGAGAGTGTGGTGTAGGGCTCGGCCCTTCGTTTTAGTCCTTCATCTTGTTGAATATTGTATAAAATGGGCACATAATAGGTAAATTGTTTCTTTTCAATAACAAACCAATTATATAAAATGTTAAATTTGATGAAGTGAATATCTATAATTTTTTCAACAATACATGGTTCGTGTCCATGCGATTTACTGGTGCTAAGAATATCATAAAATTTGTGTAATTACATTTTCAACTTCATACATTGAATTGCAGTGTTGTTTTAAAATGATAGGTAGTGCAAAATGTTTAGTAATTCAAAATTAGTGAGTATTTTTCGCAGTTTGATTAAAATGTCCTCGAAATTTTGGTGAATGTGTTGAGACAATGGGTGTATCGATTATTTTGCGCTAACTAAATGTCATCCCGGTGCCGTGTTAATATTAGAAGTCTATGTTTGTAGCAACTGTTATATTTGTCTAGGTATCTACGTGTTTTATATTAAGCAGTGAGAACTTCAATTTAGCTTGAGTGACCAAAATAGTGTAGACGATTTTCATTCGGATAAATTTCGTCCGCTGACTGCCCCTTGACAATATCTATTTTCTGACTATTTCGTGAGTGGAATGGGAATAGTTATCACGAAAAATATAAATAGAATGCATGGTGGAATAATTAGTGATTTAGAAATTGATCTGTAGAGGAATTAAAACCCATAAGTCCAGATCTTTGAAAAATTATTTTAACTCGCTTAAATTTACTATGAATCAGATAAACATCGGTTAAAAATAAATCAATCAACCTATCATTTCATATACTGCCATACGATCAGTATTCACAACAGAAAATATATTTTTTTATTTAATTTACGATTTATGAACTTTATATTTTAGAACTAGAAATATTTACTGACACAGTTTACCGAGAACGAAAGATACCGTTGAAAAAAATCATTAGTCGTTTTCTTTTTTTGTTTCAGATTTCTCCCCTGGTGCAGAAAATTTGTGCTCAAAATTGTACAATAGGCCCTTGTTGAAGCTGATAACGTAAGTACAACGTATTAAAATGGCTAATCCAAATCGTGAAAGTGTTAGCACGCGGTTTTCGGACAACTATGAACTTAAGGAAGAATTAGGCAAGGGCGCCTTCTCGATTGTTAGGAGAGCTGTACAAAAGTCTACTGGATACGAGTTTGCGGCAAAAATCATAAATACCAAGAAACTCTCTGCAAGAGACTTCCAGAAATTGGAACGAGAAGCAAGAATCTGTCGTAAACTACAGCATCCCAATATTGTGCGACTACATGATTCCATTCAAGAAGAACATTGCCATTACCTTGTCTTTGATTTGGTTACCGGGGGTGAATTATTTGAAGACATAGTGGCGCGAGAATTTTATTCTGAAGCTGATGCGTCACACTGCATTCAGCAAATATTAGAATCTGTCCATCACTGTCACCATAATGGAGTTGTGCACAGAGATCTGAAACCAGAAAATCTTTTGCTCGCAAGCAAAGCTAAGGGAGCTGCTGTCAAGTTGGCCGATTTTGGGTTAGCTATCGAAGTTCAAGGAGATCAACAAGCATGGTTCGGATTCGCAGGTACACCCGGTTACTTATCGCCTGAAGTATTAAAAAAGGAACCTTATGGTAAACCAGTGGATATATGGGCTTGTGGGGTCATTCTATACATATTGTTAGTTGGCTACCCTCCATTTTGGGATGAAGATCAGTATCGTCTCTATGCGCAAATCAAAGCGGGAGCATATGATTATCCGTCTCCTGAGTGGGATACCGTTACTCCTGAAGCTAAGAGCCTTATTAATCAAATGCTTACTGTTAATCCTAGCAAAAGGATCACCGCTTCCGAAGCTCTGAAACATCCATGGATTTGCCACCGGGAACGCGTTGCTTCAGTTATGCATAGACAGGAAACTGTGGATTGTTTGAAAAAATTCAATGCACGTCGCAAGCTCAAGGGTGCAATTTTAACAACGATGCTTGCTACCAGAAATTTCTCTGGTAAATCAATGGTTAATAAAAAAGGCGATGGATCGCAAGTAAAAGAGTCTACTGATAGTAGTACAACGCTTGAAGATGATGATTTAGACAAAGACAAGAAAGGAGTGGACCGAGCATGCACGGTTATATCTAAAGAACATGACGAAGAAGCCCTGACAAAAGCGGACTCGTTTGGAAAAGCTCGGGGCGATAGCAATGCTTCTTTGCGCCGAGCGGAAGTGATTAAGGTTACTGAGGTGCTGATAGATGCAATCAATAATGGTGATTACGACACATATTCCAAGCTATGTGATCCCAATGTGACAGCTTTTGATCCTGATGCTCTAGGAAATCTGATTGAAGGTGTAGAATTCCATAAATTCTTTATTGACAATACACCGCCACATGTGAAAACTAATACCACTATTCTGAATCCAAGAGTACATCTTCTCGGTGATGATGTTGCAGTCATAGCATACGTCTGCGTAACACAAAGCGTAGATTCCGAAGGTCGACGGGCTACACACCAATCACAAGAGACTCGCATTTGGCACAAACGTCACAACAAGTGGACTGCCGTTCATTTCCATCGCTCCTAACTAGTCTCCTCTATAAATCCAAACGTCTTAAAGATAGTCTCTGCATAATTATAACTTAGATCAGAGACTTTGAAACAACCACCATTAATTTCGTTGAGTGAACGAAAAGGTATAAAAACCTAAGACGTTTAAGAAAAGTATCCAATTCTGCTTTAAAATAATTACACGAATTTTATTAGAATTCTTCGTATTCAAAACTTTAAGTTAATAATTAGATAAAATTATATCTTACACTATTTGAGCGATCTTAAATGATAATTCTGATCAAACTTTCAATGAGCATTCTTGAATATAAGAAGCATGAATTGTAATGTGGCTAACATGTGATAACCGAAAATATCCATTGCTTTGTGCTAGTTTTATTAGAATTTAAATATTGATCTCGGCCACAATCGAAGTTTGTCAACGAATATCGAGGCAATTACAGTTAAACGATTAAAAAAACAAAAGAAATCTCATTATAACGTCATGATCTGACTACGTTCGAATCTATATAGGTAATATAAGTAATCAGCAACATGATTTACAATTTTAGCACATTTCTCATTAAGTCTCTCTACAATTTTTAACTATAAATGTTTTGTCGTGCTTAAAATGGTGTTCTATTTGTTATCAAATAACTAGGTAGTAATGAGTAAGTAACTAATGCAATACAGTTATTGGCACTACGCTTTTATAAGATTCGCTTTTTTTTGCATACATACTTACATTTGATTAAATTTATATTGTACGGGTTCAATAATTTCTTCTATAATTGTTAACTAATATCATTACCTATACTTTACTGTTGTATTTAAGTGGATTATATCAATTTTGTCAATTTTAGATTTTAATGTTGTATATTATTGTGCTTTGAGCTTTATAATTCTCATGTAAGAATTAAATTCGAAAACTTTTTAAGTTACCATTATTCCAAGTGTACCTAAAACAGTACCTGATCTAAATCAAATTATAGGTAAAAAATAAGGTATCTACAGAATTCATTGGGATTCATTCTATTCTATTACTTTAAATTTACAAAAGCTGACGATTTGTACAGTTACTTTTTAGAAATATGATTTGTCATTATTAATCTTAAGTCTGTGGTACCTATAATTTTATAAAATAGGATTTCTATAAAACACAGATAGATACACACCACCTTTTCATATATTCGACTTAAACTTCTTTAGAATTATCATTTCAATGTCTATAAAATCCGACAGAAAAGCATGCTCTTTGTGGACTTTGAGATCCTAACCCAGTTTTAAAAGTCAACAATTGTGCCATTGAAATTAGTGTCAATAACTGTAAAACTAAAATATATTCTAGTCTTTATTATTACACATATTTAGTATTTAATCAACATTTTATTAAATTAATTTTGAACATTAATATTATAATAGATACGTAGTTATTTACTTAATGTACATATTGGTTGCACACCGCATGTTTATATTGTTGTTGTCATTAAGCAATCCCTTTTTTGAGATATTTTAATGAAAGTTAATTAAACTTTCTTATTGAATTTTATTGAATTAACCAATTTCAAATTTTGCAATAAACTTGTCATTTTAGAGATTATAATATGATTTTTCGATCGTGTTATATAGGTACCTACCTATCTATTCAGAATATTCAGAAACAAGAAATTGTTTGTTCCGGTCGAGGTATCTAATCAATCAAAAGAAAATTTTAATAATTATTATGGATAACTATTATCATTTAACAAAATTCTCGTTAAAATTTCTTATAAATGTGCAAAGCATTAATGAAATATTAATCTTGTTGTTAGTGAAAATAAAGTTGCTACACAAACTTTTCAATCTTCAATTAAAATGATACTTCTTTGTGTTATTTCTTGATAAAAATAGTACTTAATTATATATAGAAAGGCTATTTAAATTCAATTTACTTGTAAATTCATTTATTAAAATATTTGTCGATGTTTCAGAATTTAATGCTAGCCACTTTTAAATATCATTATAATGTTTGTAATATTTAAATAGATAGTTAACGTAATTTTCAATATAAATGTGCAGATTCGATGTTAATCTGAAAATACAAGATAATGGTTTGACAGTTACAAAATGCACAACATAAGTCCTCAACACTATCTTCCAGTATTACAAAACTATTAAAAAGAAATAAGAACATTTATTTAAATAATCATTTAATTTTACTGTCTTCCTTCCTCAATATATACTTACCAGTGCGAGAATGATATCATACCTACTAGCCGTCTGTTTTTTAATTAATTTAATATAAAATAGAAATCATGGCTCTCCCTTTTGTTAGAAGGCACGTTTAAGTACTTATTGGTTATGAACTTATGGACTTACTGTCTACATTTGAGGTAGCTGGTTTTGTATTTTAAATTGCCTGCTTTTAATTGATTAGTAATTTACACATGATACATTACTGTTTAAGCAATATATTTGACTTAAAGAGTCAAAATCAAGCACTTTAAAACATCGTATTTCAAATGGTCATCTAATCAATGGAGTTCATTTTATTCATAATGTGGGTGCAGTGCAATATGGTTATGGCTCTCGAATATTTTATACATTACGTTATTAAATAATAAATTCATTGTGGTACCGAACATTTATAATGTATAAAGATGTCTGAATACATTAGCCTGCTTTGTCCAAGTTAACAACTTATTTAAAATTTAAAAACTATATAAAACGCTTCTTTTCCTTTACATTAATTACAAATTATTAATCTCAACTAAATACAGCTATGTATATCAAAGTAAATAGTTTAAATATAAATTGATGTTCTAGATATATAAAATGGATTGTGAAAATCAATGTTGTAAGTTGTTGTAACCAGCTTTTTAAGCTGGTACTACACTCAATGTATTTATACAAATATTGGTGTTGGTGAATTTGTTTGAAGTAAAACAGCAACTTTATCTGTACTGTCATTGGATTGATTTTGCTTTTACTATATGGCCATATGTTTGTATAAATACCCTATATTATGCTAGCATTAAATGTGGTTGAGATTATTTTAAATTTTGTAGTTTAATAAATGTAACTAGGTAACTTTAACTTCATTGCACCTATCATTTCAGTTAGGAACTTCTCTATTAAAAAATGTAGTAAGTACTCCTATTTGAAAATATAGGTGTAATAAAGAAATGTCAGTATAATATAAAATTTGTATTCGACATAATTTTTGAAACTCTGCATTGCCGATTCTCATGTAAATTCTCTAAAATAAAGTTCTTTTGATCTACAATTAACTACACTTTATTTATTTACAAAACTATCTTTTCTACTTCTATACTGTATACCTAGATACTGGCAACTAAATAGTTTCTAATTTAGGTACACAGCACTGTGTACTACTACTTAATTTACATTTTAACTTCTAATACAAATGTCTAATGGTGTCAAGCTATGTACACATTAATTGTTAAGTTCAATAGAAAAAAAAAACATGAAGTATAAAAGTCATTTACACAACCAATTACCTAACCATTATGAATATTTTTATTTTTTATTTTTATATTGAAAATTTCAAATGCATTTGAGAAAACAAGACAATATCTCTCATTGTGATTTTATTTGCTTTAAAATACATAATATATCCAAAAACTTTAGTCAATAAATTGTGTGGTTTAAAAACAAGTAAAAACAATACATATAATTATGAAGTTTGCTATGTTACTTTTATTTTATTAGTTAATTCTGAAAAGCAAACTTCAATGAAAACTAAACACAAAGTGACCTGAATCTTAAATAGGAACACTTACATCACAAATAAAGCAACAATCATGGACATATTTGGTAAAAATTTTATATGATCAAAATCCATTGTGGTACCTGTAAATGGAGATGTATTTTTTTAAAACAGGATGAAGCTATTCCTAAGCTGTTGAGACCACACACTCATGTTCTGGGCGTGCAATNCTTCAATGAAAACTAAACACAAAGTGACCTGAATCTTAAATAGGAACACTTACATCACAAATAAAGCAACAATCATGGACATATTTGGTAAAAATTTTATATGATCAAAATCCATTGTGGTACCTGTAAATGGAGATGTATTTTTTTAAAACAGGATGAAGCTATTCCTAAGCTGTTGAGACCACACACTCATGTTCTGGGCGTGCAATAGAAGGTGATGGGTCATCTATGGACTTTAATAATAATTTACTAAACACGAGAAAGACTGAGCTCATCAGCCATTGCATGTGTAACAGAAAACAAATTAATATGTAGTACTGTACATCAATACAAATAGTGATAATTTCAACAAAATTCACAGGACAATGGAAACTTATTTTCCTAATAATAAAATAGTAGTAGTAGTATTTGTTGTAGTAGTAGCAATAGTAGTATTTATAGATGGTGTGAGAACAATTGGTTTGAGATGCCCATTGTTATAGCTTTCCTTGCATTCATATTGTGGCTTGCAATTTACACAAGCTGTCCTGGGCCTTACGCCCTACTAAACAAGACAAATAAAAACATCACAGAACATTACCACCTACCTTGAAACATAAGGTGAAACATTAAAACTGATTGTAACTTATTCTAACTTTCAAAACGGAATGCATGACTGTTTTATGGTAGAGATCCATTGGATGATGGTACTCACTTATGCAATCTCCCGATAAGCCCTACCACCATCAAACTTATAAATTCAGAATATAATATTGTTAACAGTGAATTTGAATATTTCTTTAGAAATCATATATATCAAACCTTTTTAAAGCAATTTAATCTTTGTATGAACTCCTTTACACCCATCTACAGCAACATCAAAATTCTTCAGAAGTTTTTCGTAATCAACATTTTTTAGGTTCTGGCTGCTTGCCTCCTTTTGTATACATTGTCTCAAATGTAAGTTATTTAACAAATCAAATTTAACAAATGCCTTATGTACATTTACATCTTTAAAGTCTTCAGTTACTTTTACGTGAAAATTCTCATCACACATTTTCATATAATTATTCAAGTTATCACAACTGTATATTAATATAATAGTGATATTCTTATCTAGTTCTTGGCTTTTTTTTATAAGATCTTTTACATGTTGGTTCACAATTTTATCATTTCTACTCAGTCCATCAACAATGAAGAGTGAACTCTTACACAGTATTAAGCCATACATGAAGTCTGTGGAGAAGATTTCTTCAAAACTAGGCATCGTATAGTGGTATAAATTAGATTTTTTTCCAAACAATTCCATTATTATGGAAGCAGTATAAGTTTTACCTACTCCTGTACTTCCATAAAAAAATAGTAACTTTGTTCCTTCTTTATTTAATACATGAATGATTGAATTAATGGCTTTGTTTTGTCCATATACTTGATTTGAGAGTGTTTCCTTTAATTGTTTTAAATCGAATTCATCAGAACATTCAAATTTTAGTAAATGATAGATTATTACTGACATGGCTAAAACCCCAACAATGGAAATGATTTTAAATTGAGGCGTTATTTTATTCATCTTAGGTTGAGTTTTAATAATGTGAAAAGTTTTCATTGGTTTCGAGGACGAACTTTTAATATCCTCAGTACTCACACAGGGTGAAATGGGTTCCCCTATATCGGCACATTCATCTAACTTTTCCTTTTTAATTTGTGTCGCGTCGACTTGAGAGTCGTTATATGAAATATCCATATGTGTAACAGAATTGGCACTGTAATCCACATCCATGGATTCGTAGCTATTATCGTGAGATTCCATATTAAAATGTGTATGCTTATCTTATCTGACTTAAATGGATGTCTAATTGATACAAAATTTTGAGTTACAGCCAATAAGTAATAAAAATGTACCCCGTCTTCTGTTGTATGTTTGTTGCATTTCTGATACAGGCCTAAGTGTGGCGTGATAAATGGTACCTAATATTAAATATCTTTAGGGATTCATAATCTCTGCATTATCTTTAGTCCCGATAGCCCGAATTATGTGTTTAATCTTTGCCCGATAAATTAATCCTGACATGAGATATCTGTCATGTAGCTTTTGTTTAATTTGTCCATTGAACAGACAAAGGAAACATGCCGCACACTATATAGTTAATTTTGTGTAACAACTCTCTGAAATATGGTAAACAGTCAATAATCTATAATTATTAAATCTAAACACACTAATCACTTAAATCATACAAATAACAAAGCATACTCACGTTTCCGCCAAAACTCTGTTAAGTCAGTTGCTATTTTTTAGAAGGTCGCGATTACGATGAGTTTAATAAATATAAATATAATAACCCTGGAAATATGTAATAAAGTTAAATACTTGTTGTCTGACTTCAAATTCCTGTATGTAACTAAAGTAATAAAAAATGCGATAATAACATACAGAAACAGTTTTTATAAGCAATATATTTGAAAATAATTGCGATTTGCATACGAATAAATTATACCAGATTCCAAAACGCTTGAGAAGATTCTATCATGGTATTCTTCCTAGATGTTGGAGTTTGAATATAAATGTAATGGCAGGCAACACTTGACACATATAAGATTACAGATTTGGAATACTGGAATGCTTTTAAATGTTTAAATCAAACGATTGTCTGCTCGTCAGTGAAGACAAGGACTTCTCATCTAACACGGTCAGAGCAGCATCTAAGAGTTTTATAAAGATAATAATTTTATAACGGTGTAACAGTGTTCAAAGTATCTACAATATAATTATATTAATCATGAAGCAGAGTGTTTTTAAATAGCCCCTCATCAACCTACAGAACCCAATCCCCTCAAATTTAACCGTCCAACACTAGATGTATAGTTTTAATGGTTCTAATATTTTCATAGCTAGTAACATCATGAGTCATCTCTTGGCAAATAGCGGTACAAACAAATAGTGCAATATCAAAACAAGTAAGGCTATCTAATATGGAGCATGGCTATCTAATATGAAGTCGTCGTGGCCTAAAGGATAAGAATCGAATAAATCGGATAAGAAGAAAATGTTCGAATCTCAGACGGGTACCAATATTTCTAATGAAATACGTACTCAACAAATGTTCACGATTGACTTCCACGGTGAAAGAATAACATTGTTTAATAAAAATCAAACCCGCAAAATTACAATTTGCAGAATTACTGGTGGTAGGACCTTTTGTGAGTCCGCCCGGGTAGATACCACCGCCCTGCCTATTTCTGCCGTGAAGCAGTAATGCGTTTCGGTTTGAAGGGTGGGGCAGCCGTTGTAACTATACTGAGATCTTAGAACTTATATCTCAAGGTGGGTGGCGCATTTACGGTTGTAGATGTCTATGGGCTCCAGTAACCACTTCACACCAGGTGGGCTGTGAGCTCGTCCACCCATCTAAGCAATTAAAAGCAGATGTATCATACAGAACGATCAAGAACTTACCTTTGAGAAGGTTAGACTTTATTCTAAAATCTAGAGTGGGATGCTTAAAGTTGGGATGAATGCAACAATAAGGACGTTCAACAAAAGAGTATAAAGGGAGAAAAATTATGGTGTGTTCCGTGCCAGTCGGCCCTAACTTTTTTATTTATATTTATTGCTGCTGCTATACTATTTGAGGTCTACAGAAATGCGCTTTTTGGAATCGTGCAATAGGTATCAAGAGTTTACCATGTTTTCCAGTTTGTGACGCTCCAAATAAAGCTTGATGATTAGCTTACAGGTTTTACATTCCCGATACTGCGAACCGAATATTAAACAGTTAACGTCGCCCTAAACACGTCATTTCGGATCCTCCCCATCCACTAACGGTGCTTTTAGGTAGCCCAAGAACCGGTCATCGTTCTCGTCGAATTCGTCGCTTGTGACGAAGGGCTCGGCGATTAAATTAACCTACTGACACAGCACACTCAGTTTCTCGCCGGATCTTCTCAGTGGGTCGCGTTTTCGATCCGGTGGTAGATTCTGTAAAGCACTGATCTTGCTAGGGCTAGTGTTAGCAACGACGTCAGGTTTGAGCCCCGTGTGTTCCTTACCTACTAGATAAGGTTACGCTGAAATGATCTCTCAAGATCATGAGCTTGGGTAGAAAAAAAAACAGGTTTCACTTTTAATGTTTTGTCCCCATTTCGGTATTACCGCGCATAAAAAATTGGTATATAACAATCGAAATTAATTTAGCGCAAAAAAGAAACGAAAAAACTTCTCGTTCATTTAGCACATCATGCTGGGTGTCGATATTGTTTTTTTAAAAATTAACTTATATGGGCGCTGTTCCCTTTGCTTGTGCAATGGACGGGTCAAACCAGAAGAAATTTTCAAAGAGAATATGTTCAGCCGTCAAACCGTAAACTGCATTTTTTTAATCGGTCAAATCAACGTTACTTTCAAAAATGAATGATAAAAATGATCAACATAAATCATCACCTCCACCTACTCACAGAAAAGTTCGAAATCCTTTTGATAAAGTTTTAATAGAAAGTTTACACAAACCGATATGCAGGTAAGTTTTAGTCATATTCATTGTTTTACGTGCTAATTATAAGTATACAAATTTTACCATTCTTAGTCCAGGAATGTGCAAAATATACAAGCAGAAGAGCAGCGGGTCTTTCCGATGGGACATCGATCAGGCATGCACATTAGTTCCTACAGAGATTGTTGCTTGTAATAGTCAATTTGAACCGTCACCTGATCCAGCATTAGAGAGAATCGCCGAAGAGGCCACTGACAAGTAAGTCCACAAATATGTGAAGAAACCTATGTAACACAAAATTTATAGTTAAACCATTGATTTCAATCCAATCATTTATTTTTGAATAAAACAAAACATATCATTAGTGTGACAAATGATTGTTTTTTTTTTATATATTCAATTATTGTAATATTCACAAATCCAAAGGGTTTAAGCATCTAGATAGAAATACTTCTATAATTTTTTTATTTTATTTCTAAGATGTGATGACGAGCTCACAGCCCACCTGATATTAAGTGGTTACTGGAGCCAATAGACATCTACAACGTAAATGCGCCACCCACCTTGAGATTTAATAAGTTCTAAGGTCTCAGTATAGTTACAACGGCTGCCCCACCCTTCAAACCGAAACGCATTACTGCTTCACGGCAGAAATAGGCGGGGCGGTGGTACCTACCCGTGCGGACTCATAAGAGGTCCTTCCACCAGTAATAAAACTTGTACTGAATAACTAGATTGATCCAAGTGTTATATAAGCCTTACTACTACACAATGATAGTGCTAAATTATGGCATATCATCATGTCATCCTAATACATTTAAATATTTTATTTTCTAGATTTTTCTCACAGGAGATGGTAATGCCTAGTCCAATGGAATCATTAAAAAAGAATAAACCTATATTAAAGACTTCCTGTGAAGCCAGTGTACAAATAACTAGCCTTATCAGAGAAAAATTAATCATCACTAAAGATGGTTTGTATTTCAACAGATTTTGAATTGATTTATTAGTTTTTTACCTAGTTTGAATGCTTTATGTACTAAGTCATATTATTAGTGGACTCATGGTCCACTGGGTTGCAAGTGTAATATCTTCTTTAGATTTTATGAATCATAGACATAACTAAAATCAGATAATTAATAATAAACTAGTAGTAGTAGTAATTAGTATTAGATATAATACTACTTTTATGGGATTAGACCATTGATTTTAATTCATCAGGGTTTGAATATTGTGCTAACTATGACCTATGTCTCTATAAAAATAATACCTTTGTTGTCCATAACCATAAAAATTGTAAAGTATTTGAAACATTGGAAACAATACAATGAAATTAAAAAATATATAGGTTTAACTGTAAATGTTGATTAATTAAGATTGCAACTGGTGATTTGAGTGTATAGTTAGTTACTCCCACATAAAAGCTTAAGGTTGAAGTCTCAGAACATTTGAGTATCAAATTTTTCAAGCTGAAATGCTAAGTTGGTTAATGGCAGAATCTGGTATTGATCTGTAAGGGCTTCACATGTGCTACCACTGTAAATATTGGAAGTTGTATTTTATTACAAAAAGTTTCTTAGAGGTAAAAGCTATAAAAACAATGATGTGATTAATAGATAATCAAAAATAATTGTACCTGCCTGGAGTATGTTCACATGGCTACTTCACAGGGTGGGTGTAGTCATGGATGCATAAATGAGGGAATAGTAAATATTAATAATAGTGCTATCAAATGCGGTCATCTATTTTAAAATAGTTTCAGCACAAACGATACTCACACTCCCTCCGGAACTACCACCAGAAATAGAAAAAATTCTACAACCTTTCTGCACTTATACACAGGTAAATACAACCTTTACCAAGGTACAACCTATCTGCACTTATACACTTATACATTAAAATTATTTCATTGTAATTATTTCATTGTTAAAGTTTTAGTATCCTATTTTACTCAAAAATTTCAATTGAATGATGTTGATTTTAATAAAAGTATTCTTCAATAAATAATTTTATATAAAATAAACAGGTATCTTTGAAAGAAATATTTGAAGTTGATTGTTGAAATTGTGAAATATAAAAAAAATATTTATTTATTTATTTGAATTGATTGCGGTTGCTCTGTTCAATTCCAATGAGGCCCTGTGGCTATGTAATTTATTATGTGACACACAATAATCATTTGGTGTTAAAAAACTGCATTTAATAGTGTCTTCATTTACACAACACAATATCTATATAATGAAAGTGCATGTTTACCATGATGTTTACCATGATCAGTACACCTCCGCCATCTCCAAAGAGGTTATGGCTTTGCAATATAATTCAGGGATCTGGACTCTTTAAGTGTATGAAGGCATTTTATACTGATTCCTGACAACAATTTATTTCCTACAGAAAGTTGTAAAATTTTGCAGAGAAAAAAATAGTTTAAGTTAATAACTACAAAGTTTCTTTGACATTTCTGTGGGTGATTATCACTTAATAAGACATTATTCTAGTACTTGGCTTTGGATTAGTAATTTCATATTTTGCTTACAATTATTGTAGAGAATAAATTTTCAATCACATGCCATTATTCATTAATCGTTCCTAGATTGTCCGATAAGCTTTAACTTCTGCTGGTACTTTTAATTATTATTAAAATTACTTTTTCATCTTCCATATGGTTCAAACTACCAGTCAAAATTCCCACTAAGCGATTAATTTGAAATAACTGTGCATTATTCAATATATTGTCTCTTATATTTATTTTCATTTTTGAATTTGAAAGCAATTGATAATTAAGTGATGAAATATTTCTTTTAATATTTTTGCTCATCTTTTTCTCATTGGTTTTGGACCAATTTACATCTTTCTTATAACTCATAGTCTACATTAGAATGACAACTTCAAATAGTCAACATGTGAATTGTATTAAGAATACACTAGAAGTTTTAATTCATTAAAGTAATTTTAAACTGCATCGAGAGGCAGATGAGCCTACCTGATGTTATGCACACAGTTACTAGTGCACACAGACATCAGAATAGAATGTTACTCTCAGTTGCATTGTATTAACGGGTATCCTATCCTTCAGACTGGAAACTGTGATTTCTTTGCAATATTCTTACTGGTAGTGTCATCATGAGTGGGCTCAGACATACAAGGGAAATGAATAGAGAAATTTGCAGAATAATTAAAATGCTTTGGGTTGATGAAAGTATGCTAGTAATGATTTGGCCTCCCCAAGTGTCTCCAGATTTGCATACCCTTATTTTCTGAATAGTAGCTTGGTATACAATAAATATCTAAGTTCCTCTGTCCAGAACACATAAAAATAAAACTGTAGGGATACCTAAAAAGACATAAACATTATGTTGCAAATTGTATACATACTGTATTAAGAATATTCTGGGGTGTGCATATTATTTGAAAAAAAAAAACATTATTATTTTAGGATCAAACAAACATGTCAGATGAGTATGAAGTAACAGCAAACGGTTCCCTTTGTCGGAAACTGTTTTTCGAGGAGCACAGTGACATAGACCATTATGATTCAGAACAGACTGATGATGAAATACACGCAGAACCCCGGCCCCCTTCAAGTTACGAAGCACACACGCCTATAATATTCAGTCCTGATTTGGTAAGTGCTTTAGATAATTGATTTTAAGAAGTAATAATAAATCTTGATCAGTTGCCTAATGTCTCGAAATGTCATTACTGTTATCAAATAATATGAATTCATTTAATGATATGAAGGTGCTTATGAAATGAAATGAAATGCGTTTATTTCACGCAACTTAAGCCCATAAAATGTCACATACAATTACATAACATCTAAATCAAAATATAATAAAATTAAAATTACAATTTATCAGAATGACTAAAAACAAAAACTAACAAAAATGAAACCAAATCAAAATTATTAAAATTAAAATTGTCAACTACTAATATAAAATTTAAATTAATAAAAGAAGTAATACAATAAAATAGAAATAATGTTAACTGAGTAACCGCCACCATACCAGTCACAGTGTTAGATTAATGAGAGACAGATGCTTATTACAATAGTGTCTTATAGGCCACTTAAGCACTGGCCCTTGTCGAACTCGTTGATTACGACGAAGAGTTCGGCGAGCGAACTAATCCATAGACTCAGCTCACTGAGTTTCTCGACGGATCTTCTCGGTGGGTCGCGATTCCGATGGTAGATTCTACGAAGCACTGATCTTGCTAGGGCTAGTGTTAACAAATTCTCTCAGGTTGAGCCCGTGAGCTCAGGTACCCGAGGCGTAGTTGTAATAGCCCCTTAGGCTACCAGCGAATAGGTAGGGAAAAAATATAATATAAACATTCATGAAGATGCTTGAAATATTGGGGCTGAAACTTAGGGATATAATAACCTATGTGTGCTTATAACAAGCTACGACTGTTTACTTAAAGAACTAGCGGCTTTTATTTAATCATTATTTATTTATTATTAGTTAATATACTTACTTTTCTAAAAAATAATTAAAAATGAAAATATTTTTAACAAGCCATCATCAATATTTAAATTTGTAGTTTTTAGAAAATCGGCATATAAAATACACACATAAACTCGCTACATTCTATGCTATGAACGTCTAAACCTAAACATTTAATTTTGTTATTTGTGATGGTGGAAATAAAATCATTATTTTTATATACATTAACATTCTTAATAATTGCTTATTCTTGCTTGTTTAAGGTTCAAACTTTTACATTAATGTTATTATACTTACTTACACAGTGAAATTTATTAAAATTTACTAAAGTTAGCATTCTGTATTTTTTATAGAGTCGTGACTTAGTCACGAAGGGTATGAAGAGAACGTTTGGTACTCCATTAAAGAAGAGTTTGTCGGCACAAAGGAAACCTTTTCGTAATAAAATATTGGACGTCGTCGACTTTGGCGAGACGTGCTTCAGCCCTATCGGGTTCCAAACACCGATACGCAATGATCAAAGGTCTGCTACATCGTCTTCTTTGGCGTCTGCTTCGATTTCTCCAGTCACCAAAGTGGCTTCCAGCGACGAAGAGGTATATAGCTAAAAAATAATCGCATCTATATAAGTACATGACGGTCTTGCATCCTCAGCGTCCACGTCTCAGCCCCATACAGAAAGATAGGAAAGACCAGGCATCTCATTGAACGAACTTTTGAGTTTTTGTTTATTCTGCGGTCTCTCCAAATCTTTGTTCGTCCCTCAACTGAGGTTCTAGTCACGGCGCAACGTTTTCGGATCTCATCTTCGCAGCCTCCAGCGTTGATGATAGTGAAGCCTAGATGTATAGGTATTGACTACCTACATAAATTAATCCCGCTATATGAAAGTCGAGGTCAAAAGATCTCGCGGACGATAATAATAATAATAATATAACTGTTCATTTGATACCGCATGTACAGAGTAAGCATATAACAAAAATAATAAACGGTGACATAAATTGGCGGCCTTATCGCTGAAAGCGATCTCTTCCAGGCAACCTTAAAGGGAGAGGAATAAGCAAACTAGCATGGACGGTGCTATATCTTAATAAACTTACAAAAAAATATATACTTATTATTATTCCACGATCTCCAACACGATGGACCGACTTCATAAAATCTGTGACTCACTCAAATATAAATGATTGCTCTCACACTGCGAAACATCATGCCACATGGCGTGGCATCGCGAGAGCATCGGTATCGCAGGATTCGACTGATGCATGAACACGACCACTCTGTCAAGAGTGTACGACTAGGAAGAAGAAGAAGAAGTACATGAACTTCAAAAACCCAAGTACTCATTTAGTATACATTAAGGAAGCACTGAATCTACATAAGGCAATTATGTATTCCAGTTTGAAGAGTAGAACAGCCGTTATACAACTGAGTTGACCTCATGTCTCAGGCAAGCAGGTGACCACATGCCTGTCTATGTTTAAACAACATCTTGACACCAGGTGGACTACCATAACAAACAAAGTCGAGTACAGTAAAAGCTCCTTATTCGCGCATCCTTCAATCGCGTTTTCACTATTCTTGAGTTAAAAAAAATTCGACCCAATTCCTATATTCGCAGCTAAAGATTTATTTATACCCATTGGTAAAAAGGATTCGAATATGTAGCTATCCAACCGAATTTCCTTTGCAAACGCGTGTAATATAAAAGTAAAATAGATCTTATAACAACTATGCTGCAAAGGAGGAGGTAAATAATTAGTGGAAAGGAGGTGATTAATTAATTAAAGGCTGGTTTTGGTGAAATAGCGAAGTGGCGCTTGGGCGTGGCGTGCGTGCAGTTTGGCCGCGTGCGGTTATATCTAGTAATACCAAGCGATGACATAACGGCGCATGCGCAAGCAACCGTAAATGGTTTAATTAAAAAATTTAAATTTCACTTAATGTACAAGAATCAAACTAATTCTAATTCTAAACTACGAACTTGTACCGCAAAACGCGTCGTCGTCTACATAATATGCCTAAAGTAATAGTTTATTTTGTCACCTAGGAACGTATCCCCCTTATAATCCCTTAATATACCTATGTAAATTACCATTCCATATTCACGGTTTCTGTATTCGCAGATTTTTAAAGGAACAACACCATCATCATGATGATGAGGACCCCGCGAATAAAGAGCTTTTACTGTATGTTCATTTAAGGACGAAGGAAGAAGTTGGTGTAATAATAACTCAAAATAAATCTTGCAAATTACTTTTGCATTTTTCTAGAAAAACAACTTTACTTCTCCGGAATCCGAAGCGATGGCTACATGCCTGGATTGCATCTCGGACCCGCGCAGCGAAGAGAAGGGACCGTGTTTTTGTAAGATTACACCTAACAAAATAAAGAGGAGTGCGTCACTAAAAGAGTCTCCGCCTCGCAGCCGGAAATCTTCATTGTCGTTTTCGGAAAAACGTAGTTTAAGTATGTCGAGCCTACACAGGAGTCGGTCAGTACAGAAACTAGACTTCAGTATGGACATAAGCTTTGAAGAGTCAGCACACGATCAGTCACAAGGTAAACTTTATGCTATTGACAATTTAAAATGAAGTCAAATAATTAATCCCTCACATAAAACGAGATAGAAAATTTTCGAACAATAAAGCTGAATTCCCATAATTAATTCTCGATACTTAATAGAAAATTGAGTGATGATGAATTTTTTTTTTAAATTTGTTGCCTTTATGGTTGGACGAGCGCACACAGTTGGATGTAGGTGGCAACGGACCGGCCGCACTGAACATCAGTTGGAGAGGCCTATGTTCAGCAGTGGACAGCAGACAGGCTGAGATGATGATGATGATGAGCTCACAGCCCACCTGGTGGTAAGTGGTTACCGGAGCCCATAGACATCTACAACGTAAAAGCCGCCACCCATCTTGAGATATAAGTTCTAAGGTCCTCAGATTAGTGACAACGGCTGCCCCACCCTTCAAACTGAAACACATTATTGCTTCACGGCAGAAATAGGCAGGGCGTTGGTATCTACCCGTGTGGACTCACAAGAGGTCCTACCACCAGTGATTACGCAAATTATATAATATTTTAAATGTTGACAACAAATTGAAAAGTTATTTAAAATGTTTTTTGCAGCGGATTCGGAGTCCAGTTCACATCCGGACGCGCAGGCCACGTGGTCTATCGTCGAAGAAACAAACGCGCAACAAGGGGTCAGAGACGGATGCATTAAATTAGAAACAAATGAAATTCAGTCTTCCACTAGGATACATAATATTAATATTAATAATATATTAGATGATACGCCAATTAAAGGGAAGTGCAAAAGCTATCGTGCTCATGAAATCAGTAAGATTCGTGTGCCGGCGTCCGCGAGCCCTCTGCACATGTCTCTAGATAATAGTTTGGACGGCTCCGACAATCTGCTCAGTATGGAGCACAAGAAGATAGACTTTAATAATGTTGATCTCAAATTTCTGACTGAAAACGTATCTCAATACGGACGCGCGACCAATGACGTCACCAAAGTCGGCGACGACTGCTCGACCAGCTTCAAGAGAGTCGACAGCGGATTCAACGAGAATACTTTTTATGCTAGTACTAGTTATTACGAAAGTGCCATAAAACCATCAGAACTGACTGTAACTAATATATCAAAGAGTAATGTAACGAATAATGCTTTGAAGGAAATCTCCAACGTCCATTGGATGAGGGTCGACAGTGGTTTCAAAGATGAAAACTCCGCGGACAGTATACAGTTTTATCCCGGTAATGAGAATTCGGTCAAAAAGTTTTCGAACGTTGAAGAAACAGAAATGAAGCTGGCCAATAAGGGCACCGCAGATGACTTCGATCGGTTTCTGGTTCAATCGTGCAATAAAGATGCGATGTCCATGTCGGATATATTCACCGACGATATGACGTTCAACTGCAATTTCTCGTCGACTCCATCCAAGAACAAATCACGGAGACTTCATTCTTAACATTAAAACTTTTATTTTTATAGTATAATTTATAGTGAATATTTGAAGTTTTCTACTCGTATTGTTTTATTTAGCCAATAATTGTCTGTTTTTGACGTTTATCCATTGTTTATTATTGGATGAATTTATATAATTATGTTGAAATAATTTTCTAAAATGAGCTGACTGTTTAAGGTAATTCGATAATTTTGCATGAAATTATTATTATTGTTTTTTTTTTTACTTGAGTTTGTGTGTTACTTGAGTNAATATTTGAAGTTTTCTACTCGTATTGTTTTATTTAGCCAATAATTGTCTGTTTTTGACGTTTATCCATTGTTTATTATTGGATGAATTTATATAATTATGTTGAAATAATTTTCTAAAATGAGCTGACTGTTTAAGGTAATTCGATAATTTTGCATGAAATTATTATTATTGTTTTTTTTTTTACTTGAGTTTGTGTGTTACTTGAGTCAAGTATAGTCCAATAAAGATGGAATAAGAAATAATCTCGACTATCCTAATTTTTAAGTCAATTCACATGAAGTGAGAAGTGCTTTGCTACAGAGTTATTCAATTCGAACTATCTACGCGTTTAAATTGTTTTTGAAGTTATACTTCTTTAGGCGCGTTATGAAAAATTGATGAGAGTGAAAATTTACGATGCGCGCGCACCGTGACACAAAATTAACAGAATGAAGTTGCCCACTAAATCGCTCATTACAATACGACCGACGTAACTTGGCGAGTCTGAATATAGCCGCAGGCGAACTTTCCGAACCGTACCGAGAATTACCGAATTTATATGATGTCAAGAAAAGGGATGTCCAATATGCGTGTTTGAGGAAGTTGTTTAATCGATTTTTTTTAAATTGAGTAAAATTTAAATAAAAAAAGAAATAAATTTAATAAAAATAAAGTATAACTTCTTACGCGCGTTTTACGATGGTTTTAAAGAAGCAGTATATTAGGGGTTAAACTATGAAATTGCCGATTTGTACTGAATAACTGAAATTCGTTTTTTTTTTCATTTAACATAATTATTTAATCAAAATAGGAAGGTCATTTATGCCTTTGCGATAGAACTCTGGTGATTTAGATTTTACAAACTGTGTGAAAGCATTTTGTACTGCCTCCTGGGAAGAGAGCTTTTTATCGCGTAGAAAATTTTTCAAAACACGAAAAAAAAATGTTAGTCCGTTGTAGCAAGGTCTGGCGAATACGGAGGGTGACGAATGGTTTCTAATTGCAGTCTCGCGTTATCATGGAGCAATAATGGTGAGGATCTATTCATGAGTCGGAGCTGTTTCGCTGCAAGTTTTGCTATCATTGTTCGGAGTTCGGCACAGTAGGCATCTGCCGTTATTGCTTGACCAGATCAGAGAAAACTATAGTGAATAAAGCCATGCTGAGACCACCAAACAGTTACCATTACCTTTTTATTGGTAAGCTTTGCTTTAGGACACTGTTGCGGCGTCTGACCATTGCATTTTCTGCTTACGGTTATCGCAAAGAATTCACTTTTCATCGCCAGTCACAATTCGATTCAATATTCCTTAATTTCTGTATCAATTCAATAAGGCAACACAAGTTTCAACACGCATTTCTTTCTGCAGATCGGTCAAATCATGAGGCACCCATTTTTCATATATTTTTATTTTATTGATTTGACGCAAAGGAGTCAATATTGTTGGTAAGGTAACGTTAAACCAAACTGTTAATTCCTGGGTAGTTTGGCTCGGATCGGCTTCCACCATCTATTTCAATTCATTGTTGTTCACATGTCCGCCCGGTCTTCCACGTGGTTTGTTCTTCAAATCACAATTTCCATCACGAAAGCGTTTAAACCAAAATCGCACGGTGCGCTCATTAGCACTGTCGTCTCCAAACGCAACATTGATATTGCGAGCTGTTTCTACAGCGTTAGTTCCGCGTCGGAACTCATATTAAAAAATCACCCGAATTTTCGAAGTATCCATCTTTCTAGTATAAACTGAATAAAAAAACAACTGAAAGTCGATAATCGGATGCTGCACATTTTTTAAAAGAAGAACCTCATGGGTGCCATTTGAAAAAAGTTTCACTCAAAAATCTCAAACCATGAAGGTTCTATGTCAATTAGAAGTACCTATTACAATAAAACGGCAATTTCATACTTTAACCCCTATTATATCGATCGAAATCCGTCACTTGAAATCACAATACTTTGTCATCCTACTCAAGCATTACCCAAAAATCATTACGACCAGTTTTTTTAGTCTCGTCATAATGACATAATATAAGACCTCTTGTGAGCGCTTTGCATACATACACCTTTAGACAATGGAGTGACGTACTGTTCTCCAACTCACGCTGGTTCAAACCCAGCGTGGTTTCGGGGGCACAGGCTGGAACTCTGCCGAAGCGGACTTCGTAGACCCATACGTAACGTATCCCGTGTGATAAGGTAATAAGAAAAGCGAGCTAAACGCATCGCATCACCTCCTTTGCCCCGACGCGAGTTTTATCTCTGGCGACGCTCCGACGCCGTTGAGTAACAGGAGATTTTAATTGTTTCAACTCCGACGTACCCCGCCCGTTGCCCCCAGCGTGTGAGGATAAAAGCATTTTCCTCCCGTTAAAAACAACGACCTTTGAAATTAATTAAATAAATCTATTTTTGGGCACTTCGTATATTCCAGCTGTAATCAGCTTGTTGATTACAATGTTTGCTCAATAATTATATCTTTAATTAGAAGAAACTGTCAATAACGGTTCCAAAGTCCAAGTAAGATGTGTTTACCATATATTTTTTTCCTTTAACTGATTTGTTTCATAATGATTTTCATTTTTATATTTTATTTTACTTTTATCTCAAAACTTACTCCGTCATCTAAAATTGCTTATACCTTAACTTTAGATCATGATACCATCCCATATTATCTATGCTACACTAGGACGAGGCGACATAATATCCATAATATTGTAACATGGAGTCGCAAAGTCAAGGATAAATCAGCCCCGTGTTATTTGGGGTATTTTGTGCTCATTAGACCTTCTAGACAAGGTCTGTAGGCTTATAGACGTAGGCTAGGATCTAAGAATTTCATAGTCGGATTAATTGCTGGATTGTCGGATTAATATTAGATTAATAATCTAAAAAAGAAATATTAAAAATAAAAGAATTATACACAAATTATATTTCGAGGCATGCTTTAAAATATTTACATACATTAAGTACTAGTCTAGGATTTCAATAAATCGTATCGGTAAGAAGCCAATCATAAATCAGTATTTTTGGAAATAACACAGCTTCATTAGGTATTAAATGTAAATCCACTAAACGAAAGTATAGGCAATGTCATTGTATATTAATAGTAGGTAATGTAAGTACCTACTGATTAACAGTCGACCAGACTGCTCGTGCGTCAATTGTTTTTTAACAAATTAGTAGTGGAACGATAACGTCGTAACCCCTGTTATCGCCGCATCCCGGAACGTCTGCGAACTAGAAGCTGGATCTGTTTGGTAGCGACACTCAATTGAAAGTACGCGAGGTGCATCAACAGAGTGTATATAAACAAGTTCTTACTTCGCGCATTTCATTTAACATTAGTCAGTTGAACGATTAGCTACAGCAGCGTTTCAGTTCGGGTCAATTTCGGATCAAATTACGTTGTTGCCGGTCCCGCGAAACGTACACACGTTGTGACATTTCCACGTGCACTTGGAAATTCGCGTTCCTTTTGTGTGTACGAGAACAGATTCAGGGATGATGTACAATCGAACGAGTGCAACGTTGATGCTGCAGACCATCATGCTCTTGATGAAGAAGCAAAATTCGACGGATGTTACTAATTTCCCAGCAGGATTTAGTGGTAAGTTTTTACATTACCTTTATTTTACTGTGATTGATTCTTTTTTAAGCCGCATCGTGTACTAGTTTCGGATTATTATGTACTTTATTAATGTCCCATATTTTTTATATATCTTTATCCACCGTACACCATGCACCGGCCAAATCATAACGTACTCATTTTACACTGATAAATATACGTGTGAGTTTCACAAGATACATTTATGCCTATTGTAGATGATATGGAACTGGAGCGATGTTATGACATCTACGGATGTTTTTCTAAAGCCTACCCGTGGACGGAGCACAGACCCGATAATTACTTCCCTGCATCTGTCGAGTCAATGGCAATACGGTAAGTTACTGCGAATTTTAGATGGCAAGAAGATAAAATACTCATGGGGCTAACTGTTAGTAACTAAACACTGCACTCGGTCTTCGGACAAAATTTTGCTTGTGCTCGTCGGCTAATATTAGGCCCTAATTTTTTATTTTTTATTTATTGTTATTGCCTACATGGGTCGAGCTTACAGCCCACCTAGTGTTAAATGGTTACTGGAGCCCATAAACATCTACAACTTAAATGCGCCACTCATCTTGAGATATAAGTTCTAAGGTCTCAGTATAGTTGCAACGGCTGCCTCACCTTTCAAACCGAACTGCTTACGCTGCTTTGCATTACTGCTTCACGGCAGAAATAGGCGGGGTGGTGGTACCAACCCGTGCGGACTCACAAGAGGTCCTACCACCAGTAATTACGCAAATTATAATTTTGCGGCTTTGATTTTTATTACACGATGTTATTCCTTCACCGTGGAAGTTAATCGTGAACATTTGTCAATACGTATTTCATTAGAAAAATTGGTACCCGCCTGCGGGATTCGAACATCGTTGCTTCGCTAGATACGAATGCACCGGACGTCTTATCCTTTAGGCCACGACGACTTTGAATTTATTAGTGTGGGATGATTACAAAACCTTCACTATAAGTAAATTATTTTACTTGTTTTTCAATTATATCAAGCGGAGAACTAAAGCATGGAACCGTGAAACTCAAGCTCCTGTTTTAAATGAATAATTTGATATTTTATAATGCTTTTTAGATTGCTTGTTGCTTGAAAATTTTATTCTGGGCTGTTTTATTTGCATCGGTAGCTAACGCGTACATAGCCCACCTAATATAAAGCGGTTACCGTCGAAATAGTTGTCGATAACTATAGTTGTTGCAAAGTACGACTGCGCGTCGCCCTTAGTTGTGTAAGTGATCAATCTGTTTACGCGTCAATGTACGTGTGAGAGCACGTAGGGTTAGCAAACAAAAATTCCTTAATTCAAGTTATGAATTTCAACCATTTTTATATTTTAAGTATTTTTTAATTCATATATTAGGAGTAGTCAAAATAAAAATAAACAACATTGTTAAAGCAACTACCAATTTACATTAGTAATAATAATTAATTGCAGGTAGGAAATAAAATAAACACAAAAGAAATGTAATCCTTAACAATACCTTAACTCTACACAAAATAAAAAGCTCTCTCAGTTATTATTATTAAAAAATCATGTTAATTTATATCACTACCTTCATCGAACATTTCTACACTGTCACNATAAAAATAAACAACATTGTTAAAGCAACTACCAATTTACATTAGTAATAATAATTAATTGCAGGTAGGAAATAAAATAAACACAAAAGAAATGTAATCCTTAACAATACCTTAACTCTACACAAAATAAAAAGCTCTCTCAGTTATTATTATTAAAAAATCATGTTAATTTATATCACTACCTTCATCGAACATTTCTACACTGTCACAGTCATCATCTTCACTGATATTTATATTAAAATGAATCAATAAATAAATAAATAATAATTAAATATGAATTTAATTAATTGATTCATAATTTTACTTTTAAGATTTGACATGCTGACCATACTTCGTGAACAGTAGAAACGTGGAAACAACAAGTACAAGTGACTCGAGCAATGGCTCACTCGCTACTGACCGCTGAGACCGCTCCGTAGGGTACACACACTAACGAAAATGTGTATTTACGATTACAACTACAAATAACGGCCACGCGTGCTCGTATTTGCAATAACTATATTATAATTAACATTTCATTTATTTGTTTACTTTCGCTTAAAAGTTATAGCCAAGATTTATTTAATTTAAATCGATATAAAATGAGACCGAATCTGCATGTAAGAAAACAGATTTATCAATAACATTGCAAGGATCTATCAAGTCTCTTTTAGTTGTAACAAAAACATGAGACCCTAGAACTTATATCTCAAGGTGGGTGGCGCATTTACGTCATACAGTCAAACCTGGGTAAGTGAGAACTGGATAAGTAAGAAAACTCTATAAGTGTGAGTAATAGCAAAGACCCGTCATTTTAAGCTCCCAAAACCTCTTATAGCGGAAACAGAAACCTCTGTAAGAGAGAGTCGTTTTTTCCTCATGGACCTCCGTAAGTGAGACTGCTACCTATCTATACCTCTATAAGCGACAGCCGAGCTTTATTTATTTATTTATATTATTTAGGAGGAACAAATGACAAAACAAATTACAAATTTAACATCTGCTATTTTATGACTCATTTTTAACTTTCGTGGAACTTCNTTCCTCATGGACCTCCGTAAGTGAGACTGCTACCTATCTATACCTCTATAAGCGACAGCCGAGCTTTATTTATTTATTTATATTATTTAGGAGGAACAAATGACAAAACAAATTACAAATTTAACATCTGCTATTTTATGACTCATTTTTAACTTTCGTGGAACTTCCTATCATTGTTTTTGTATTGTTTTCTCGTGAATATTGAACTTATTCTATTTCTTGGAACTAAATAAAGTTGTTATTTTATCGTATTCTTTTATCGCATTATTTTCGAATGGATACGTGTGCCTGTGTACCGTCCTGTTTGTCGGACTTACTCAGTTTATCGTTAATCAATTGCGAAGGAAAGTTCTGTTCTGCATCATGTAAAAACGGAAAATTAAAATACTGTCATTAATGTCATAAACTTAAAATAGTGAATGCATTTGAATGCGGAAAATCGCGAATCGAAATTCAGAGGGAGCATTAGCGAGAAACTCGGGTTAGTGAGAAACCTCTATAAGCGAGAATGAGATTGTGCTCCCTTGAACTCTCGCTTATCCAGGTTTGACTGTAGATGTCTATGTGCTCCAGTAACCACTTAACACCAGGTGGGATGTGAGCTCGTCCACTCATCTAAGCAATAAAAAAAAGGCAAAAATGAATCAATATGTCATAATTTGCATATCCATAAATTGTATAGCTACCAATACTGTGAAAAATTTAAGAATCTTAATTGATAAAAAACTTTCATGAGATGCACAGATACAAGAGGTTTGCCGTAAGGTGTTTGCATCAGCTGGATCTTTAAGACGGTTACGATTTTTTTTTCCAACTGCCACTAAAACTGCGTTTGCACAATCTCTCCTTCTTTCAATTCTTGACTACGCCGATGCCAGCTATACTGATTTAACCGAAACACAACTTGATAAACTTGAGCGGTTACAAAATTTCTGCATAAGATTCATATTTCGTTTACGGAAATATGATCATGTATCTGAATTTTGCGCTAAACTTAAGTGGTTGTCAATTCGCCTTCGCCGTAATACTCATGTCCATTCTTTACTATATTGTATTCTCTTTATATATCTCAAAGAACGTTTCGAGTTCCTAGGTGATACGCATAGTTTTTCCCTGAGATCATCGGATAGCCTGAGACTGAAAAGGCGGGCGCATTCATCATCATTCTTTGATAACTCATTCACCATCCAGGCGGTTCGATTGTGGAATTTTCTGCCGGATGTAGTGAGAAGTGCTCCAACTTTAAACTGCTTTAAAATAATGGTGAAAGAACTTTACCTATCCGCCTAGTGTTGTTTGCTGTTTATGCTTTATCCATACCGTTGATGTATTATGTGAACCTATGTAAGTATATTGGAATATAAATCATATAGTGATTTCATATTATATTTAATGGTATATATCTATTTATTCTATGTTTGTATTTTCTTTAATAATATATTATTAATAGTACACCGCAACATACCTGCTGTATCTTTATCTGTCCAGAATTTTGGGTAATTAAACGGTTGTCTGGAAGAAATCGCTTTTAGCGATAAGACCGCCTGTTGTACAAACGTATCTCCTTGTTGACTTTTCTAATGTTCATTGTGTTTTGGTGTGCAATAAAGTATGTTCTCTCTCTCTCTATACCAGTATTAGTGACATTCCATATAATTATTAATTGAATAGTAAACAAAATCAAAGTGCATGTTTATCAGCCACGCTTACTGAGCGGTCTAATAACATCATTAATTATATACATAAATGAGAGGGCGTGGTGCATCGGCACTTTCATAATTTATGTCATTAAGTCACTTCGCAATTTCGTATTAAAAGTTGTTTATTTCTCATGTAATCAATACTAAACCTAAACCTCGGGACCTTAATATCAGTGGAACTGATTATACGAGTAGGATCCGCTTCGTGGACTCACAATATGTGCGTATTGATTATATGTATAGTACGTTGTGTTGAGCATATTAAAATGTCTCGGGACGATAAGAGTCGGGGGGCTCGTCCGTGACATCAATCAATAGCAAATGAAGACAAAACAAATATTTACGTTCTGTAATTGCATGTGGCGCGTGTACAACCGTCACGATAAATAAATAATTTATTTGTTTTTTGTTGCAATGTATGCGTTATCTAAAAGATTGAACGCTTTAGGTGTACTGACCTGGAACTTCTAGAATTTGTTTACTAAATACGACGTTTCAAAGAGAGGTTAATTAAAGGGGGTTTTTTCCCGGTTACGTAATTTGGCTTTACTGGTTTCTCGCAGCTTCTAAATTAAAATGTAGTAGATTACCCACGAGCTAATACGAGCCCTGACATGTCCTTCTTCAAACGAGGCTTGTGGAGAGTATTAAGCGGTAGGCAGCGTCTTGGTTCTGTCCCTGGCATTGCTGACGTCCATCAGCGACGGTAACCACTATTCATCATCACCATATACTCCTCTGCCTGCACAAGTAACAAAAAAAAGAGCTGAGAGGAATTTATAGACATTAGTTGGAACAATTGCATTTGTCCATAGTATGTCCATAGTGATAGTTTTTGTTACGTTCTATCAAACCACGGAATGACTATTCTTCAAGGTTTTCGCAGTACTTTGTTATTTTTGTACAATAAAAAGATATTTTCTGAGACATTGGAGAGCGCCTTAACTAAGCCCTCTGCATTTTATGACCACAAGCATTTGTCTGTACAGATTGTGAAAATTTAAATTATAAGAAAATAATATTGTATTCTGCAGGTATCCAACTTTTACTCGCCGGAACCGAAAAATACCAGTGTTGCTTCATGCCGATAATACGGACAGAATACAAAATGCCAATCTTGATGCCAATGGACCGTTTTACTTCATATCGCACGGCTTCTTGGAAGGAGGTCACAAGAAATGGGTAATCTGTTTACTTACGGTTATTCCAAACATATTGACAGGGAAAATCGAATGACGCATAAGATTGAAATAGCTTTGTTTAAGTTTTTAAACATAATCATGAAACTTTAGTTGATTTTCAAGAGCACTTGCGCGTCGCGTAGGGATTTCTTTCATTTGAAACAGCGTTATAAATTTATTTTCACTAGAAACGAAATCTTCAAAAATTTTCTTTTGAGCATTCGTCTGTCAATTTCTGCGTGTTTCTAAAATCTATATAAATACAATCAAATTCAATCCTAGAGGTCCGTCGTCGTGCGTGCATCATGCAAAAACAACTGAGATATTGATATATTTTTTAGGTGTACTTCTGACGCATTTTATATAAAAATATATGTAGGTATATCACGATATTAGTATCTTTATTTAACATGAAGTAATTAAAGCTGTAATTTTATAGTTATTAGCTCTCAGTTGTACCAAACTAACAATTACGACTACCACTAATTTTCTTTTTTTTTATTGCCCTTGTAGGCAGACAAGCATACGGCCCACCTGATGATGAGTGGTTACCGTCGCCCATGGACTTCAGCAATACCAGGGGCAGAGCCAAGCCACTGCCTACCGCAATAATCTAAACTCTAAATTAATAACCTTTAAACTAATCACAAGCTTCCGTCCCGCGTGATGCGAGTGACGTGACTATGCCGCGAAAAAACTTACCACATCCATTTTTGGACACACACTTCTTGATCACCTACTTTGTGTGCTAATGTGTACGTTTGAAGTGTAATAAAAATGAAACCCCATTAAATATATAATTAAGGTAATGATTATTGATGGTAGATCGTATTTCGAGTCTGCGCGGATAAATATCACAAGTTGCTTCTTTTTTGCCCCGAAGCTGTCGTACATTTCGCTTCGAAGGGTGGGGCAGGCCTTAACGCAATATTAAAATTTCGACGTCATATTAAAAGTAAACAACAAAATTTGCCATTTGCAGATTGAAAATCTAGCAAATGCCCTCTTAGACATTGACGGTAACGAATCAGCCACAGTGATCATAGTTGACTGGCGTGGGGGTTCCCAACCTCCGTATGGACAAGCGGTTGCTAATATTAGATTGGTCGGAGTTATGACCGCCCACTTGATACACAATATTTATGTAAGTACCATTGCATTGATGGCGCATAATATTTTTTTCCAATTGACATGACTTCAGAATATTTACTTTTTTATTTCAGGAAGTTTTGCAGCTGCCCCATATAGATAATTTCCATTTCATTGGTCATTCACTCGGCGCCCATTTAGGCGGTTATTGTGGCCACGAATTGCAGAAGGTTACAATTTTTTTACAAAAGTCTACATTTAACATTCATATGCCGTTTGACAATTAAACATAATGATTAATTTACAGAAGTTCAATTTGAAACTAGGACGAATAACTGGTTTGGATCCGGCCGCCCCGTACTTCAGCAGGACGGTGACTTTGGTTCGCTTGGACAGATCTGATGCTAAATATGTCGATATCATTCACAGCAACGCGATGCCTCTTTATTTCTCAGGTAATCTTATCGATTACATTTAATTTAGAATTACGTTAACTGCTAGACATACACACAGTAAGAAATTCCAAATGTTTATGATTCATTGTTAATAGTCGCGTTCCGCGTGGTTTCAATGCCTTGACATTCTAAAGAAGTAAAATTAATTCATTTGAAAAAAAAACGTTATTTGTATTCATTAATGTAGAAAAATGTTCACTTCACTACAATTTATAAATTTGTAAATGAATAAACTAGGAATCAATGATTTTTTTCTCTTTCCAGGTTTCGGAATATCAGAACCGATAGGCCACGTCGATTTCTATCCAAATGGCGGTTCGACCCAGCCCGGTTGCAAGCAATCTGACTCGCCCAACCAAAGCGCTTCGTACCAACAAGTCGTCAAGTACGTAGGCTGCAACCACGAAAGGAGCCACGAGTACTTCACGGAGAGTATTGCACCCACGTGCCCCTTCATGGCGATACAATGTGAATCTCATGAAGTGAGTAATCGAACTTTACTACGCACTAACAGCAATCAACTCGAAGTAATTTAAAAAAAATCGTATCATAATTACTACTTTATTTTTAATTGTTTTTATTTGCGCTATTATGCGCTTAAAACATTATATGCTTATAATTTTAAAATAATGAAACCGATTCACTTTCTTCAGACCTCAAATCATTCCTTTGCAAAAAATGTATTGAAATATGTAATTTTGGCATTTCATCATTATCAGGCAGGCGTCGACGTTTGGACATAATCTTTCCACAAGATTCACGACAGGTTTCGCATTGCGAGCATTCTTGTGAAATACACAACCAACTCATAATTGTAGCTCAGAAAATTGTTGGCCCAAGTGCTAAGCGACATACAAAAAAGATAATTTGTAGGTGATTTAGCTCAAAAGGCGAGTTAAACTCGGAGATGGGTTTCCTTAAGTCTTTGGAGTTGAGTGGGATAAAAACTAGCCGACCTTTAGCTTAGATTTTTATTCATGATGAAATATATTTTAAAACCTCCCATTTCGAACAGTGGAAGTTGCTTATAGTAATATGTATACAGTGTAATATCACAATTAAAGTTTTTCATGCAGTTCACACTGCTAGCACTGATGACTTGTTTCAATACATTTTATTCTGTCTTCGTTTTGAGTAATAATATTTGCAAAATAATCGAAATCAATATTTATTTCCCTTTTTTTAAATCGTTGCAACTATGGTTTTTAATTTCTTTAAAAACGTGTGCTTCAAAAATTTAGTACAAACGAGAGACGGTAAAATAACCTAGAGAATGAGAAAATTAAACCACATAACAATGAAAAGTATAGAGATACAACTTGATAGTAAAAAAAACTGGCACAATGAAACACACAATTATAAAAATAAAAATGCACTCAAATGTGTTTAAAATCAACACTCGGTATATCTATATATCGGCATATTTGAAATTTAAAACTACAGTTTTTAATTAAATAGATTTAAACATAAAATATAGAGCATTTAGACTTATTTGTAATAAGATCTCATTAATTTTAATTAACCCTTTAAAATAAACTTGATACATGCTGTAAACGTCGGATGGATGACCATGGTTAATTTAAATGGTCTCGAATAATTAATCGTTAACCTATTTCTATATGTATTTTAATTTATATATTGTGTACACACAGCTGTTAGAAGAAACACGACCATAAGGATACAGAGTACAAGGGCAAGAGTAATTATACAACAAGGTTTTAATCTTGCTCTATATCTTTCTCGAATATCATAATATGTACTTTTTTATTTCAAATGTAACATGTCTCTATATGTAATATATATATAAGTATGCAGAGATAAAACATTTAAGGTTCATTTTCTCTGTTTTTGTTCATCAACAGTTTTTGTTTCGTAGCTTTTGACAAGGCTTTGTTTTTTTATCGGTTCTGCTAAAGATTTCATCACATCTTGTAACCTAAGACTGCGTCAGTTCAATTTAGCATAATACTACATTTACCTCTACTTAAATATTCAAATGAAACACGTAGATTATTCTAGTAATCGACGACAATACGATAATTTTTTTTTTTTTTTTTTTTTTTTCTAGGCTTTCCTAGCTGGCAATTGCACAAACTGCGACAACAAACACTTCTGTATACCAATGGGATATCACTCGTATGACTTATACAAACATCTTCAAATAGGCGGGCTCGTCGATACGAATACTAATATAGCTCTTTATTCGCTAACCGGCAACGCGAAACCTTATTGCAGTAAGTAACATACAGTTTAGTTATTTTTTGTTAATACATATCGACGCTTGAAAGGCAAACGTGACTAAGCGACAATAACTTCTTTGTACATAAATGATAGGCAATAACCATATTCGATGCGCAAAAAAATATATATTTCTAGGTCTAATAAAATCATTTCAATCCTACAGCTACTAGCTAGATTCTACTACAGCTAGATTCGTTAAAATAAATTTTGTTTTCAGGTATTTCAACTTCTAAGTAGTCTACTGTAAAGTTCACGCGTTGTCGCTTAGCCACGTTTGCCTTTCAAGCGTCGATATATTCCTTTGAATACTGTATAAACTTATATATGTATATATTTGAGTATATATGTATGTACGTATTAGTAATTTAATATAAATTTCATTACACCTACCACTATTTTCTCTGCACTACCTTTGGTTGATTGGTAGAGAATGCCTTACGCATTAAGTCCGCCAATGTAAATTTTACATGAAGTGTTATAAATAAATAAGTAAATAAATAAAGCTCAATTACATTTAATACCGTTACCAAAAAGTAAACACCAAGTCAGATGAGACTTAAATAGGTCAGAACTTATGTCCTACCCGGTGCTAAGAGGTTGTTAAATCTCATTAACTGTTTCGTCTTCACTTTAATGAAACATCGGCTAACCTACTTTTTAAACTAAAACTTATGATTGCAATGTTCCAAACTCACTTATTAAATCGACTTCAAACTTTTTACACCCGTTGGCAGTCCGGGGTGAAGAGTATGTCATCAACATACAACCTATTCAACAAATGAGCCTATTTCACACATTCAGCATTAATCATAATTTAAAAAAACATAAGATAATAATAATTTGCGGCTTCGAGTTTTTTATTGTTACTGTTATTTTAATGTATTCTTTTATTTATTTATTGTAGAAGTACATTACAAAGTCGTTTTGAAAGTAGCGAATTCGACGGAGAGTAAGAATCACGGACCGGAATCCGGTAAGGTAACGATCACTTTGGTGGACAGAAACAATAATAAAACCGATCGGAGATCCCTCAATCCGGAACAGTAAGTTGAAACTAGTTTCATTAAACTATTGTAATGTTTTCGTATATTTCTACCTATATAACACCACCGACTGCTTTAATGTATTCCAAGAAAGAGTAGATCACATCTGCTTTGATTTGAGACTTCCACCTAACATATGAAGGTGGACGACGGAAATTCCTTTATTGCGTTTCTATAAGCTCTGTCAAATATTTAAGCAAATCGACCCTGAGAAAATTTTTCTATTGGCGTTAGGTCTGAATAACAAGACTGGATTGTATAAAAATTCATAAAGATACGATCTTAATATTATAAATTGTAATTCAACACTGAACTACTTTATCGCAGTTTCTGATATAATCGAATTGTATTTCCAACTCTTATATAAGGAAGGCGGAGACTGTGAATTGTTTATAAAATGATGACGTCATCAACATTACGTAACATCAGTATTGGTTAATATAGAACGGAATATTCCATAATATGATTTGTTATAAGTAAATATATTATACTACTTTTTTTTATTAAAATCGAGCCCAGATTCATTATTATGTAGCTTCAAATTTAAATAACAATTTGAGTAGTTTTGTTTGCATTTTAGGATTGTACAATTCCAGATAAATATTATTCTTCGTTAGAACTTAACTAAAACATGGGCGCTGTAGATAAATATCTCCTGTGTGACTTCTTAAACGATTGCTATTTGACCTATATATTTAATTTGTATATTTAAACTGCGATTACAAAAGTATAAACGAATTACGTAATTGTTATTTACGCCATAAAAACTTAATAGGTCTTGATGTTGAACCTATTAATTAGCTAGTCGAAATTGAAACACAACAATTATTGTTTATTTCTTCATTATTATATACAATATTTTTAATTATATCCTATAAACTTATACGAAGCTTGTGCTAAATAAATAAATTGTCGCATATATGTATTATGTCAATTTAATTCAGCAGTTTTATAAATCTGTTACATCAAAAAAAAAATTTTTAAATTTATAAATTATATCTTAGAGTACAACAATGGTATTCTATGTTAATTGTGAATTATATTTGTATGCTAATTTGTTATTGACGTAAATGGTAGATATCGTTTGGGCCCATCTGATGTTACTAAAACCCAAACTGCAGACGTGGGGCCGTGCGTCTAGAAAGGGTTGAATTTCTGACCTTATAAATACTGACGTTACCAAGTTGCCGACTAACGAAAAACGCATACATATGACGTCACAGCCATTGAACTGTGGACGTCAAAGTACGGTAGCTCATTTAACTGAGCTCATGTTTTCAATTTATTTATTTTTAAGTTGTTTTTTTTTGTTAGACAATAAAGTACAAAATTACTATAACACTAATTTGTCTACCTTTTTTTTCCAGAAAATATTACAAGCCCGGAGAAATTGAAACGAAAATGCTGGCTTTCCAAGATGCCGGTAACCCCCCTCTGTACGTAATAGTTGAATGGAAGTACGAAGCCTCATTATTCAACCCAATGACGTGGAGATTAATAAAATCCCCAAGTATTTTCATCGAATATATAAAACTTTCGTCGATCGAATACAATACTGAGTAAGGAAATAGAAATTATTATATTTGATCATAATTATTTTACTAACCTCAAATGGCTGACTGTTAACGCATAACTTACAACACTGGTACTTATGATAACTAATGAGAGTTTGATAGAAAGGTAAAGTGAAAAGGAAAATAGGGATGATCACAGAAGGACGAAGTAATCGTGGCCTTAAAGATAATACGCACGGTGCATTCGTATCGAGCGATGCGTCTGTGCCGGTGTTCGAATCCCGCAGGCAGGCACCAATTTTTCTAATGAAATAGGTACTTAACAAGTATTCACGAATTACTTCCACGTTGAAGGAATCGCATCGTGTAATAAAAATCAAACTCGCAAAAATTATAATTTGCGTAATTAAGTACTGGTGGCAAAGCGTCTTGTGAGCCCGCATGAGCTTGCTCCGCTTTTTCTGCCGTGAATCAACTGGTGGAGTTGGAATAGCCCTTTGACGCTATCAATAATTGGGGAGGGGAAAAACAAAAATGAATCTAATCAGTGCTCCCCAATTGCGCTATCCGAATACTGATACCATAAATAACTCACGTCACGATTACTGGCGGTAGGACTTCTTGTAAGTCCGCGCGGGTAGGTACCACCACCCTGCCTATTTCTGCCGTGAAGCAGTCATGCGTTTCGGCTTGAAGGGTAGGGCAGCCGTTGTAACTATACTTGAGATCTTAGAACTTATATCTCAAGATGGGAGGCGCATTTACGTTGTAGATGTCTATGGGCTCCAGTAACCACTTAACACCAGGTGGGCTGTGAGTTCGTCCACCCATCTAAGCAATAAAAACAAAAACGTCCGAAGCACTCTTAACCCTTGTCGCTTGAAGGTCGGAAGAATGTTTTTTCTTGTTTCAGAAATTAATTATTTCAAAATAACCAATGACTAAGAACTCCCAAATTATTTGTTACAGAATAACGGTATGCCCAAAAATGAAAAAACCTGTCGTCAACAATCTGCCAACGGTCATGAAAACGAAATACTGCAAGTTCTAAGAAAATTAAATGAACCACATTACAATAGCAATGCAATTGTTAATTTATTAAGTCTACGAAAAGTATTCTTTTAGTATTCTATCAATTAGATTTAAGCACATGTTGGATATTTGAATTGTTAAGGAAATTAATACGTCATTTAATATTTAGATTACTTTATTAAAGTGTAATCAAACAAAAACATTTTGTTTTAATTTTTCATATTTTACAACGTAGGTATTGTTTAAGCCTTTGGAGAAATCGTTTCTAAAGCTGAGAAGGGAATAATATATCAAATGTCAATGAAATAAAGAATACTCTTTGAATCAAGTTCAATTTGGCTAAATGCTTTTTCATTTAAATATTTACAAAATAAATACTATACTATTAAAGAGAAAACTTGACTAGTCTCAGGGACCTACCCACCTACCCATAATGAATCTGAGAAACGTTTTATTTGCTATTCGTATAAATTTTTGAATAGAAAAACTTCTAAGACGGTTCGTGGCGAATACAATAGTCGACTGTAACTGAATTAGTCTGTATCAGGGTCTGTCTAGGCGCCGTTACAAGGTTAATTCTTTCGTGATTGGTTGCATGATAAATACGCTTCCAAATTCCAAATCCCTCTTCGATATGTCAGCTTATCTTGAAAATGTTAGTGCGATTCAGAATCCTGTCAAATATGTTATATTCTCTAAAAGTTAGGGAAAAAAATATCGGAGAAAATTTTTGCGCTAAATAGGCTCAAAGGCTCAGTTACCACTTGCCGTTAGGAAAATGTCAAAACAGTGACAACTTTGACCAGTGACACTTGCGTTTCAAGCGGTTTGTTGGAAGGTTGGGTGTTGTTGAGTTAGTAATTCAATTCAATACGTAACATAATAAATCTGTTATATCATCCATACTTATAAAGATCGATTGCATAGTTGATTCGGTGCATTCAACATGGGTGACACGAGGAAAAAGAAGAAATTTTACTTTAGGAAACGAAGAAACAAATATTTCTTAGAACCCGGCTTCAAGGGCTTCTTTTGCACGTGTAACTTTAGAGAAAAAGACTGCGTCAAAGAAGTATATAATCTTCTGAACGAATATGCCAGTAAACTCTACCCAGATTTAGATGTTGAGCAAGTTCCACCGTCTGCAGTACCTGAGTCAGACGCTCCCGAGGATAGGTCCGAGAGCGAGTCTGAAGATGAGACTGATATTGGAGACATACTAAGAAGGGAAGTGGATTCAATAAAAAAAAATTCGCAGAAATCTTTACGGTTTAAAAGATTTCAAGTGGTTGAAACGGGTGCATCAAATTGTATCTTTGTTAAAACCAATTTACCTAGTCCAGAGGAACTGACCACCGCCATTATAAAAGACCTAATCGCTACACGAATTCAGAAAACCAGACATGTGATGCGACTGCTTCCAATAATGATTACTTGTAAAGCAAACCTTCCGGACATAATGGAAAGCGCTGGAAAACTTTTTGATAAGTATTTCTTAAAAGAACCGACTAGTTTTTCTGTAGTTTTCAACAAAAGATTCAATAACAGTGTATCTCGAGACTTGATCATCAAAGAGCTTGCAGAATTAGTAGTTGTAAAAAACAGGGAGAACAAAGCTGACCTCAAAAATCCAGGTCTCTGCATTATAGTTGAAGTTATTAAAGGAATGTGCTTGCTGAGTATTGTTGATAACTACTTTACTTATAAAAAATATAATCTTAATGAAATATGCAAGGAAGAATCAAATGATTCTGAAGAATCACAGGCAAAAAAATTCAAGAGTAGCTTGAACTCTGAAACTGAGGAACAGAATACTCAATAAATCTACATATTTCCTTAGAGTTTTTCTACATTAAAATTTTTTCTAACCTATCCCTAGGTTGCTGCGCCTGGAAGCTTATACCAACTCTTATACCAAATTTTCTACTTATTATAATATTTTTCATTAAAGTTTTAACCCTAATCTGTGTATTTTTTCACCTTAATTATGTTAACAATTACTTAGTTTTACAATAACCTATGTTATATTAAGGTTTTTACAAGATTATGTAACAAGAGAACCGCTTAATGCTGCGGCATTGGTTACATAACTGGCTGAAGGCTTAGTAGGTCACTTTGTGCCTCAAATTTATAGATAAGACTCGGTCATAAAAGTAAGTATATTTTATACTAGTAATGACCACAAAATGACTAATGAGCTACGACTATCTATCTATTTGCTTATTAATAGTTCCAAGTTAATAATTTGAACTGAAGAAAATTCTATTCCTATAATGGCAATATTACTTTAAGCCTTTATCAGATGATTTAGTTACATGTTGTATCGAAAGATGGCAGTATGCCATAAAATACTCCATGTTTTCCATGTCCATATAACTTGTGAAATACAATTTCTTTACTAAGTATTGTAATGTTGTTTTAGATCCTTCATTGTTAAATGGATAATTAGAAGTTTTTATTGGTAAGAGGTTTTCAATCAGATCAACAGCGTTATCTACTTGAATTTCAATCACCCATAGATGTCAATACGTACTAAAAGATGAAAAAATGAATTTGCTACACAGATGCAAATAATTAAACTAACTATCTTTATAGCAAACATTTAAACAGTGAATCTTATTTTACACATCAAAAATAGTGAAAAGGGTTTAAAAAGAGGTTGAAATGGATTTCTTTTTGCTATACCTATTTTTTGTTTCTGTTTGTATTAAGTAATGAAAATAAGTAGGTTCTGAAATAAAAATAAATAAAAAACCAAGTTAGTATAACAGAATTTTTTTGGTATGTTAGTAAAAAAAATATCACTATTTTATTAATTATCATGAACTTATAAAACATTTTTACATATTCCCAAAATTTAAGGCAAGCTGAAGCGATACTAAGTTTAAGTTTCCAAGATGATCGAGAAATATCTCAACAATTATTGCTTATAGATGTCGCTTTTAGTGTCCTTTTTCTTATTTATACTTTTTTCAATCTAGCTCCTCAGTTCGCAAACAAAACATGCGGTAAGGAACTTTGTTCCAATATTACTGTGGAAAATCTAACGTTTTGATAGATGGCGTTAGTCTGCACTTTAATTGTTACAGCTTAGGAGAGTAAGAACAAACACCTCTAAATGACCTATAAAATTTGTGGACAGTTGCAATATAAGATTAATGTCTAAGAATTAATAATTTAAGTATGAACGAAGTCTACCGGTGTACCGGTACGAGGTCCTGTTGTACTCGCTTTTTTTTAAATTGACCTATCAATTATTGTGTGTACATCATTGACGAGTTATCGATGTTCCTGCCTTTAAGTCTGAAATAGTTCACACTTCTGTTCGATTTTCTATGATCAATCATTGTCTAGGGGCAAGTTTCTCACTCGATTGTTTTGTGAGAGCCCATGTTTCGTATTTAATGGCCTTACGCAGATGTTGAAGTCCATGTATTTTACATACATTTACATGCTATCACCTAGAAATCATCCATGTGCCTTTTTTTTGGTTATTATCAATTAGTATTAAGACGTCGATGGTCTAATTTTAAGTGCAATGCTCGCTACAACAACTATTAACTGTAAATAATTCCTTGCCCGTTCGTCATCACACGGCCAAGGGTCCATCGTGTCATAGACAGATTCTAATAAAATAATTTGTTAGTACCTATTTATTTTATTTCTATTACCTAACCTGTTTACTTGTGTTAAATAATTCATTTGGTTTATACAACTCGTAAATACAAACCTATTGATTTTATCCGGACTCTAGTAGCTTTACAAAATGGACAGTGAATATGTACAGCATCATGACATATAGATTATGTACGCTATTTAATTATCTTGATTAGGTATACCTATAGGCTAGACATCCTTAAAAGTATAGATGTTGCTAGTGATGTCTTCTTAATCTCTTATTCGACACGTTTGCGACCAGCTAGGTCGGAAAGTTGTAAATTCGACAATTATTTCCGAAAAAATAAAGAAGTCATTTAGTAAATTACTTAGTATCCTACCAAACCGCAAGCCAGCGTCAGTGTCAGATAACCGCTTATTTTAATCAAGTTGGGGTTTATGCAACAGCTTGTAGCTTATAGGCAGCAACTTGGCCATATCCACAGGCGTTTCTAGCCAATGGGGTGCCCGTGTAAAATCTAATGATTAATGGGTAATTTTCTAGCGCCCTATACAAAGCGCGGTCAAAATGTATTAAGCACCCACTAAATGTAACAGGTTCATTGAAAGTGCCGAGGTCATTGCCTTTTTTATTTTTTATTGCTTAGATGGGTGGACGAGTCCACAGCTCACCTGGTGTTAAGTGGTTACTGGAGCCCATAGACATCTACAACGTAAATGATCCACCCACCTTGAGAGATATGCGTTCTAAGGTCTCAGTATAGTTACAACGGCTGCCCCACCCTTCAAACCGAAACGCATTACTGCTTCATGGCAGAAATAGGCGGGGTGGTGGTACCTACCCGTCTGGACTCACAAGAGGTCCTATCATCAGAGGTGCTCTAACAGAGCTGCGCCCAAATGCAACGCACATCCTGCACCATAAGTAAAGCCGCCTCAGGATGTGTCTCTGGCACAGTTGACGTGCTTGAGCGATTATAACCACTCACTAGTAGGTGGACCGTAGACTCGTTTGCTTGCAAAGGCAAAAGGATCTTTTTGTATGAATGATGTGAATGATTCACGTTGGTGTCATAGACATAAATCTGCAATGATCACAGGAATTATTTTTCGTGTACAGGGATCTAATCCACGAAAAATCAGCTTCATTAACTAATAAAAAATAAAATCTGCAGAACAAAGAACAAATTACTTAGTAAACTTTAATACACGGCAATTAAAGTAACAATGAAAACAAAATGCAAGTCAATAAAACTATTGTTTTTCCTTCGAAGAATGTAACAGCAGCCAATTAAAAGTTTCCAAGGGCAACCGCAGTTGGAATTACGCCAATACACTAGTGTAATAAATTGCTTTTCGTGATGAGAATAACAGGACTCTACAATCTTCCAGTAAATAAAATGTATACGTTTTTCTTCAATATTATTACTGCTATTTTTATTACTCTCGATTTGTAGATTGTCTACTGGAACTCAAAGACATCACAACTTGAACTCTATAAGCACCCATCCAGAGACATAAGGTCAATTGTATTTTAAAACGAGCGTTTCACCCACCAAACACATTACTTTTAATTACTTGAGTTCGCACTCATTCACCTGCTGCCAACCCTCCGACCGCGTCCGACAATCTCGCTTTAGCGATCGACTTCTTTCAGTCGATCAACTTTGAGCGCGTTAACGCTTTGGGCGACGCCATTCGCGCTGCCTCCACTGCACAACACTTTATCGCCGTTGTGCAGGAATACGCCGACGTATACGCGTCATTAAATANAGATCGTTTTTATACGAAAAAAACTGTCAATGAATTGAGAATTTTCGGCTGGAATGATGATATTCGAAACGTTATTTTGAATACAAATCTTTACATTACGAGATTAGCACCTAACTGACCTGTTAAGTTGATACTTTATCACTGTCGTATAGGCCTGGCTTAAATCGTTTATACCTAATTGGCAATTTAATGCCTAGCGGCGTGACCCGCTTCGTGGCGTTCTATTTGAGTACCGATTCGATTTACTGTTAGTTCAGTGAAGGAAGACCTCTATTCCGTGTGTGAGCTATACTTAAGCTGCGAGCACGGTCCGTCCGTGCTGGAATAACAAGCATAAAACGGACACTGGCAAATCCAACCGAAGTCCCGGATTTGTTACAAAGTACGGCTTATTCCGCTCACTTCAACAAAATATGGCCCAAATACTTGAGGCGCGCTTGCTGGCTGCAGATTTTCAATGCGGTTTCAATTCCAGTAAACAGATTAGTTTAACGAAAGGCTTTTGTTAGTTTTTATTTAAAATACGGATTCATTGGTTACGATATTTTTTATTTCTTTTAAATTTTGCGTTAGCTTATAAAATAAATTACGTTTCAATTAATACGAGCTTTTCAAAAATGTAAAGGATATTCAAAGTAAACTTAAAAAACTCTTCAAAAGTTTTGACTAATTATAAATTGAAACATGCAATTTCTTCGTGGTATAATTCGCCATAATCAAATTAAACGATTTAGGAACTCCGAAGTATTACAAATACGAAGCATGTAGAGGTTTAAAAAATGCGTTTGTTTCCATACCTACTTTGCCTTTGCTCGCCCACCTGTCCTGGTGAAACTGGAAAGGCCTCCGGGCCACCAGTAATCTTTCAAACATAACAAAAAACCTACATTGTGTAAAGCTGTCAAAGTAATTCGGTTCCTTTTACCGCCCGATCCCTTTTTAATATCACAATAAAATTTAACAATTTTTTTATTAACTTTCTAATGAGAAAATGCCAAAAAATGTTTAGGTACCTATATCAAAAGTTTCAAATTTGAATTTAAAGTTGTTGTTTTTTACATATATACCATTTTTAAAACTACATGGCTAGAGTATAAATGTAACTCAGGTTACATGGAATTACACTTTTCCGGGAGATCTTTGGCTCGTCAAGACTTAATCGTTTTTATTGGTTTAAAAGGACGGCCTAGCTGATTGTAAAGCGGTTACTGGAGCCTCTTGACACCCCATTGCGAATGATGTTGACTACCTGAACATTAAGGTTGAACTTTGAGGATTTGAGCAGTTTCGTTTTTACTGGTGGCAGGACCTCTTGTGAGTCCGCGCGGGTAGGTACCACCACCCTGCCTATTTCTGCCGTGAAGCAGTAATGCGTTTCGGTTTGAAGGGTGGGGCAGCCGTTGTAACTATACTTGGGACCTTAGAACTTATATCTCAAGGTTGGGGGCGCATTTACGTTGTAGATGTCTATGGGCTCCAGTAACCAATTAACACCAAATCAAACACCAAACAAAAAATCCCGAGAATACTCGTAAGCTTAACTTTCTTTAATCATGTATTCGCACTCTAGCT